CTGCTTTTGTTTCAGGTCCTTGGGAACTCGGGCAAACTCTACACCTGCTACAGTTCCTGCCACTTCTGCACATGTCCTGCTTTTGGTTTTACTGTATTGCAGAAGAGCGAGAGCCTTCTGGTAAGTTGTGTGGGAGCGGAGGAGGAGGCTGTGCCCTGCTGCTTTATCCCGAGCAGCCTGAAGCTTCCAAGGGAGCAAACGCTGGAGTGTCGAGTTGGCCACGCAGGCCGTGCCTGACCCACTGCATAATCTGGCCTCGGGGAGTCGTGGTATTTGGGTGGAGCTGGGCCTTACACGGGCTAGGGAGGGCTTTTGTTTTAATTACACATTACCATCCTGACTTTCAAGAGATGAATAATCCCTGGTTTCTTGGAACAAGGGCTATTGCTGCTAATGGGACCGCCACGTTGAGTCTGGCTGATGAAGTCCTGCAGCTCACCTGGTGCCAGTGAGGGAGGGCTCAGGGTAACTAATTGGTTTGCAATTGTGAGGAGGGCATCAGGAGCCAGTAACACTTTGCTGTGTGTCAGATCCCTGTGTTACATTATCCTGATGGCAGAACTGACCTGGGGCAACTGAAGCACCAGCCTGTGCCAGGGCTTGGCGTGCCAAGAGGGAACCATGTTCCTGGGAGGGGTGAGCACTTCATTAGACCCATTCTGGCCAGGATGGATTTTTGTGGCTTCCAGATAGAGCATGACATTCCTGCGTTGCTCCTGCTGTTAACTTGGCTGCGTTATTATTTGCAGTGCAAACATATACTTGCCGTCTACCTCAGTCAGGCCATGGGAGCCTGCCAGGAACTAACTGTCTCTGAGGAGCAGCTCACAAGCATCTTACTGGCTGAGGAAGAGGATGAAAGATGAAGGATTTGGAACACATGTGGATGTGTTAGAAAGTACACAGAAGTGTACCCTCCCAGCTGTGTAGCTGGCATTTTTTGTATCTACAAGGTTATCAAATGTTCGTTGTGGCTAGTAGGTTTCTTCCTGTGCAGCAGCCAAGTGTGACATTAATTAGCAGCCTTGCACTGATAGATTAATTAATAAATGTTAAGAAGCCTGTGTTGACTTCAGTTTCATTTATTTAGGCTATTCTTAGGCTTTCTGAAGATGTTGGAACTAATCTGTAATACGTGCAGATGCGATGTGGGGATAGGAACAGTCCAGCAGGTCTTAGTGATCCATTAAACCTCGTTAACTCACCCCACTGCCTCCCAGTGCCCGCACGGCTGTGGGGAGTTGGCCTCCAACAGAGTGATGCTGCAGCGGCTCTTTGCAGCTGGCTGCTCACCGCAATTGCCGATTCATCACTGGCAAACCTGTAGCAGGGACTCGGGCAGGGACCCCTCAGCACCTCGACACTGATGACAGCTCTGTGCTTCCATTGTGCTTACTGTGATACAGGGTCTTTGGAAGCATCACCCTGCTTACTGGGCTTTTAAATTCACCCGTTTCAGCCAAGTTGACCACCTTGTGCTGGCAGGCAAGACAAGGCTGTCCACATCAGACACGGGAGGAAGGAGACTGCTGCTCCCCCATTCCATGCACCAGCAGGGAGCTGGGAACCAGTGCCTTCCAGCTGTGCGACTCCCTGCCCGTGCTCTGCAATGGGGCTCCTCCTCGAGTACACCGTGGCCCGGTGTGATACACCATGTGAGCACAACACTGCGAGAAATAATGGGGCACAGGCTGAGGCAGGTTGTGTAGGTGTAAATTAAGCATTCTGTATGTAAATAACAGTTACTGCAAATACAAAATCTGAGCAACATGAGGAAAACATCCATCCTATGTACATCAGAGCAGTAACAAGTGACAGCTGAATAGCTCCAGCTGTGCTCGCTACAGAAAGTTCCTCTGCCATTTTCACTTCACATTTTTACAGAAACCTTAGAGCTTTTTTTTTTGAGGGGGTCAAGAGAGGTGTCCTATTTTTATTTTGCCTTGAAATGACTTTGGCTCAGATCCACAAAGGCACTTAATGTGCCTAAAGACCACGGTGACCCGTGCCACAGTTAATAATGGCCAACAACCCGATGGCACGGTCATGGTAAGGGAATGCCGCATCCGTCTACAGGAATTCTGGCTCATAAGAGGTGTATGAAAGGGAGCAGTGGTGGATGCTGAGCTGCAGTGCAAGCTGTCACATACGAGCACGTGTTCGGGGACCATCTCTCTCTGTGTTGCAGCGCTGTGTGTTTCAGTCTGTTCGTGCTGTCCGGAGTTCGGTTCATTTTCAGCCAGCAGGAGAGGAGCGGTTACGTTCTTTGTTGTAAGGATGAATGTGGCTTGCAGCCGCCTTGCAACACTGCCAGACCTGCAGGTGAAACCCTGCTTGTTTCCAGCCATGATTAACAGCAGGAACATGGCCAAAGACAATACAGAAGGGAAGGAACGAAAGGAGGAGAGAGTCAAACCCTGCCCAAAGGGCAGGAGGTGGCTACATGTGTTAGCTGGACTCTGACCAGGGCAGATGCAGCAAAGCTGAATGGGGCTGTTGAAGGAGAAACACGTGGGACAGAGGTGAAACCCTGCTTGTTTCCAGCCATGATTAACAGCAGGAACATGGCCAAAGACAATACAGAAGGGAAGGAACGAAAGGAGGAGAGAGTCAAACCCTGCCCAAAGGGCAGGAGGTGGCTACATGTGTTAGCTGGACTCTGACCAGGGCAGATGCAGCAAAGCTGAATGGGGCTGTTGAAGGAGAAACACGTGGGACAGTAACTTTAACTATTAGCTGCTTCTTGGAAATGCCCGTATCTGAGATACCGAGCTGTAGCTACAGTTGGACATTGCACAAACACGTACAAACCCATTCAGAGCTCACTGGTGATTCACCCCGGTTTGGGGCTGGCTCTCGGAGCTGCGCTGCTGCACGCACGGTAACGAAATCCATCGCTCCCAGTGACCCGTCCTCTGTCTGTGTAGTGGGCCCTGTCGTACCTGCAGCTGCTGCCTGTGGGTCACACCAGCTGGCACAGCAGATGCTGCAGGAACAGGATTTCTTCAGATCAGCTTTTCAGCTGATTTTACACCGTATTTGCCATTATATACGCCAGAGAAATGACACTCGCGGAGTCTTATATTACCCCCCCCTTTTAGTGCAATGCAATTAAAAGAAACTGAAAGCTGATTTCTATATGATTCAAGTACAATTTATCAGGGACAAACTGCCCCAGGCTTGTTCCCTATCTCTGCCTCCCTGCATGGGTCACCACTGAAAAACTGTGTTTCATACACATCCTTGCACTCCAGCTTCTCACTGGTCGCATGGTGATGCTGCTGGGACAGAGTCCTCCAGAGAGGTGGGACCACTTCACCACGTGGGGACCTTCAGGCACGACTCCTGTTTGCAAGGGGGCCACGAGGTGATGGCAGGTCTGAGCGAGTCAAGAACAGCTGTGTCTGCACCACAGTCGCCTTTTGGGCACAAAGTAGGGAGGCTGTTTGGTGGTTTTCTGACTCTCCCTCCCTGTTTTTCTCAGCTATGGAATGAAACTACCCTGCAAAATAAAAGACATGCTCGAAAACACTGGTTCATGTACAGCAGCGCATGTGCCGTCGCGCAGTCTGGAGAAGTGGAGCTCGTACTTCAGAAATTCCTGCACGGTTCTTCCTACCTTTGTCTAGTTTTGCATCTCACAGTTATGTACGAAATCAGGTGCAGTAATTACTGAGCTGTGGTTGCAGAGAGTCGTTAACTTGCAGTACAAATTACGACTGCTCTGCTGGTGGGTGGGCTTTGTTCGTACAGGGGGCCAGGACTCCGTGGCTAACTCAGAGTCCCGGCTTGGCAATCTCGAAGTGAGCATCTTCCCCAAAGAGCTCGGCCAAAATCGGGTTGCAAGCCAAGGCATTCTAACTTCTCGAGCAAATTAGCTCCCTCCCAGTCTCTTTTGCTGCTGATGTAGGTCAGGATTTTTTAAAAAAATAAAAAAAATAAAAATCACTATTAGAAAAAAACGCCCTCACAGCTTCTGGGGGTTACTGGGCTGCAGAGAAACCCCAGCAAGACCAAGTTTTAGGAATCAGGCAAGCTGCAGCATCCAGCTATCACAGCGAAAACCTGCACTTCTGGAAGCACTGCAAGGCTGTCGAGTTTTGACTTGGGTACAAAATCTAATTGCAGAGATCATGTCACCAAGGGAGCGCTCACGTTAACCTCAGTGACTCCAGGTCAGAGTAACTGAGACCATCGGGGCACTTCTGCGTTTTGAGAGCTGGGAACAGATTTGAAATCAAACCTGAAGCACTGGTCTGCACAATCCTATAGACCAAAGTGATTTAAAGGCAATAAAACTGCTCTTCTAAAACTTCAGTCAACCCTTTTCTAAAATTTTTCTCTTTCAGCAAGCAAGGCTTCTATACTGGGGCCAAAAATAACTGGCCAGTTCTCATCTTGTTTTCCCATCAACATGGTCACGTCCCTCAGAGCCTGGAACGCAGATTCAGTTTCACACCAGCAACTGGGCTAAGTAAGACTTTTTCCCATCGGAGAATACTAGCTGCATCAAACAATTGATGGAATAATTAGGGTATTACCAAAGTGCTGTCAAGTATGGACTTACAGAGCAACCCAAAAACAGACACAAAATTATTACTCCTAAATGAATTAAAAGATTAAAAAATAATAATAATAATAATAATTAAAATAAAGATCCTAGGACTTGACATGAGCAGCACAATTGGGGAAACACCCCAGGAAGGTGGGTCTTCCACAGTCAATGTCTGACCTGGAAAGGAAATACAGTGGGGTCACCAGCACTCACCCAACCTGGGTTTACAGCCAGGGTGAGCTGCGCTCCGTTCCCCAGTCAGGTTATTCCTCTGGGAGGCACTACGTTAATTACAAACATTAAAAAAAAAAAAAATCCAGCTGCATAACTGCATAGTGGTCATCTCTGTGTACTCCTCTGGGAGTCATCCATAACGCTTCACATAGGCACAGGGAAGGGTAGTGCGAGGGCCGGACCGCGAAACCCCGGAGCAGGAGACACGCCGTCATACGGTCACAGAGGCTAACGGGGGGGTAAAGTGGTGCTGGTTGTTGTCAGTGTTGCACTTGGGGAAGTCGTCCGTCTTACAGAGGATCTTGGAAATGATCTTGCGGAAGGTGTAGCGGAAGTCCCTGATCCTGTAGGCATAGATGATGGGATTGATGACAGAGTTGGCGTGGGAGAGGATGATGGCCACATACATCACCCACTCAGGCTTGGATTTGGAGAACTCCTCGTGGAAGTGACTGATGCAGTTCAAGATATGCAGGGGCAGCCAACAGAAGGCAAAAAGTCCTACAATGATGGCCAGAGACTTGGCTGCGTGGACCTCCTTCTGCAGCGTGGTCCTGCAGTTGCCCATCAGTTCGATCTGATGCAGCTGTTTGCAGGCGACCATGAATATCTTAATGTAGATTCCCAGCATGATAACGAGGGGAAGCAGCACGCAGCCAAAGAAGTTGAAATACACCATGTAGCTCATTGTTACCACGTTCTCAAAGAGGCATGAGATGAAGCAGCCATGGTGCTCTGTCCCGGTGTCAGTCCCTGTCTCGTTGGTGGCATTGGGACAACCGCTCATGGCTTTATTCCAGCCCATAAGCGGAGTCAGTCCAATTCCAAAGGACAGGAGCCACAGCACGGCGATCAGTCCTCTTGCCCGCTTGCCAGTCACCAGACTGTTGTACCTACAGCATCAGGAACAAATCCAAGATAGAGCCATTAAATAAATGGACGCCCGGTACTTCCCTGCAGTTAAAGTCATCAACATTTTGGCTAATGCCACAAAAGCCCCACACACGCAAGAACCTCACCTCTGTGGTCACCAGAGGGTCAAAAAAAATCTCACCTGTGCTCCACACCTACACAAAGCAATTTGGAGAGGTGATTCACTCACAGTTCCTGAGAGGTGCCGAGCACCACCCCACCCACAAACATCCTTCAGTTACCGAGGTAACTTGGAGTCTTAAAAAAAGCTTTATCATTGCCTGAGCCTAAACCACCAGCTACAAGGAGGGCAAGACCCAGGGAAGGATCACGGTGTAACCACCAACTTACTCTCTTGCTCTGAGCATCCACGGCTGGGCACGCTGGGGCACGCCGCCGGGCTACACGAGCTTCTGGGCTGACCTATTACAGCTGAGACAATGTTGGCTCGTAATTCCACCCTGTAATGGGTAGCTAAAGACTTAACCAGCATCGCCACACACTTACAGACGTTACACCCCAGCCAGCTTGCTTCAACTCGGGCTGCTCTTACGCCTGCAGCAATGCTGGCTTTCACCGGAGATCGCAGCAGTCCCATCCTGGATGTCCCTTCCCACGCTCCCTCATACACTAAGGTGGGAAGTACACGGGTGTGTGGAAACCAGGGATTCTACCAGTTTCGCAAACAGTGCAATTCCTGGCTTACCCACGCCAGCCTGCTGCCCACGCAAGCCTGTTGTGGCTGGGTACCAAACACCCTGAAATCCTTCCCTGAGCCAGCACCTGAAAGCAACTGCTGGTGCTGGATTGCTTAGGGGAGTTACAAGTCAGGGTTTGTGTCTCCATTCAGAGTCTCGCATCCAGGCGTGGAGCTGGGAGCCAGGGACACTGGGCTCTTCTCCCTCCCTTTGACGTCCCTGCTTGGCACATACTCCATCAAAGTGCTGCTGCAGGCAGCTCCGCTCAGCTCCCAGGGCTGGTGTCACCCCACTGCTCATCTACGTGACATCAATTCTGTAGGACATGCACCATTGAGACGTCCTCAAGCCACACACAGACTCAGACCCGTAGCTGCTGAAGCCATCGGTGGGGTTAACCCAGGCAGCATGTGTAGCTGCTGCTGCCAAACGATGCTTGTGCTCTGCTGACCCACTGCTTGTAAAAATGCAGTTTTTTAAGTAAATGCCTTCCTTGGGCACCTGCTGCTCTCACAGGTGTCATGAAGAAGCTCCACGGTGGCCCAGGGACGAGCTGATGCAGTGCTGAGGGGTGCGGAGCCACGTGCTGCCCCACACCTTTCCTGTCCCACGGACTGGGCACCTTCATGGCCAAGAAAACAAAAGATGCCCCTCCAGCTCTGGGATGCTCAGAGATGCAAACAGAGCCAGAACCTAAAGCAGCAAAAGTCAAGCTGGTTTGGGTGCAACCAGAAGAGATGCTGGCACCACAGCACCAGTCGTATCGCTCTTCGGAGATACGAAGAGCTCGGCCACTGCCAGAAAGACAACATGAGAAACCCATTACTGTCCTCTCCACAGCCAGTTAGTGTCTGCTGGCTGACACGTGTCCCCCCCTTCCCACACCCTTCTCTCAGTGCTTGTTTACTCTGGCTTGGCTACCCTGCTCCTCCTTTCCTAAGAACGTTTGTTCTGATTTTCTTCCGGCCCATGAGGCAGGGGAGGGGTTTATTCCCACAGAACAGCAGCTGTGCCTGTGAATCACCCGGCGGTCACCTCCCTGCGTCCCTCTCCTCCTGCAAGACACAAAGACAGGAGGGTAAACAGGGGGGTCCGCCAGCACCCACTGGGTGGCAAAGAGGGGCCGGGGGAGCCCTCAGCTCCTGCTGTGTGGCCACTGCACGTGGGGCCGCCTTCGGGCACGGCCGGGTGGCCAGGAGGATGCGGGAGCAGCAGCTGTGTTCAGGTGATGCTGAGCTGGGAAACACACCATGGGGTAGGGGTCTAAAAGGCACGTCAAGCCACTGAGGGGGTTTCTCCTGTGCTTTTCTCTCATTATTGCTAAGTTTCACTGCTTCAGAAGATGAGAAATTATCAGACGGGGCATCAGTGAGGCCAAGCCCCCTGCTTTCCAAACCTCATGTTAAGTGTTCAGGAGCCGGAGCTGGTCTGGGGTTATGGGACCTGAAATCTTTAAGATTTGGTTTGGAGCAAGTTCCCAGAAATCCGATCTCTTGGCAAAGTCTGAGTCTCGAGCTACAACCTTGGCTAAGCTTAGTCAGTGCTGCAGGAGCACCGAGAGCTGCTGCTGACCCGCAGCTCTGCACGGGGGAGAGAAAGCCACGGTCCTTGGCTTGTGCTGTTCACGCTTAGTTGATCACTGCGGTCGCATCTCAGCTGCCTCGGTCATGTCACATCCCAAAAACTAATGTGGTGAGACTGGAAAATGCAAAAGAGACCGTTGCTCAGAAAGAGAAACCAAAGGGTTGTGAGTGTCATGTTCTGAATCAGATCGTGCACGAGGAACAGCCGCCGTGGCTCCGCGTGCCATGCTGCGGCCGGGGCCCACCCCCCCTCCGGGGC